TCGGGTCCCTGACGGGATTCGAACCCACGACCTTACGGTTGCGAGTCCGAGAGCCTAACCACTAGGCCACCGACACCACAGTTACAGTTTTCCAATAAGAAGAAAAACATTGAAACTTAATATGTGTTTTATTCAGTGTTTGTTCAGTTTTCAAGGACTTTGGCCCGTATCACATAAGCCTTGAACCCCCATAGAAGTCATTTATTGAAGCTTGTTTTCACTATCATGAATGTCGTCTACTACAGTGCGTGGCGCAACTTTCCTCAAATATCTCTTTAAGGGGTGAATCATAAGGGTGAATCTATTTTACCCATACTTTGCACAGCAGTTTGTATCTATTTGTTTTTACTTAATCATAATTCCACAACAATCAAGGCTAGAGTTTAAAACATTTCTCCATAAATTTACATAAAATATTGCCAATCTCCACCACCTTATTTTCCCCCAGCTCATTATTGTATTGATGTAGGCCTCATCATCATCCAGTGCCAGATCTGCGACAGACATCGGCGATCATGATTTTCCATTCATTCCTTTGCTCGGATGCTCTCAGAAAAGCTACGTTTCCCTGATTTTTCCCTGTTACCTATTTGTTTAGGTTCCCTAAGTATATTGTTCTGGACCTAGCCCTGCCTCGCTTGCCCTCAATTTTGCCAGTGAGAGCTAGATGTTCAAGACCCTTATGTCTATTCAGGTGTCCCAAAAACTGCATTTGTCGTTTCCTGATTGTTTTTAACATTGAGCGTCCCACGTGGGCTTCATCAAGCACTACCTATAGGCCTACTTCTTTTTAAATCGAAAAGTCGGAAGAAAAATTGGACGAACTAAAAGTCCAAGAAACCCCAAAACTATAAGTTTGACACATCGTCTAAAAAAAAAAAAGCTTCTTACAAATGAACCGTATTCTCCTTTTTTTAACAATAAAAATGTTTGATTTAAACTTTCAAATTAAATGTCTAACACAGAATCATGCCAACACAGAATCGAAAGTTTGAGTATGCACTGGTGAAAAGCCAACAGTGTAATTGAGGTATCCCGGTTAATTTATTCAAAAGGGCACCCTCGTACCAGGCCTAGATTAATGAGTGCAACTCTATAGTTGCGAAATGTTTTTATGCTTCGTTTTATAGAATTGTGCATACACACTCACACTCACACACACTCACACTCACACACACACACACACACACACACACACACACACACACACACACACACAC